GGCTGGGGAACCCAACTGGATCTTGTTCTCTCTCCCCCAGCTCAGTTCTGGGCCCAGTCTTCCTCTATACTCCCCCATTACCTGGGGGAGTCCAGGGGACAGGGCAGGTGGGGGGCCTGTGGGCTGTGGAGCTTTGTTCATTTCATTTGGTGCCACATCAGGGTCCCCCCAGCACCTGTGAAGAGAGGCGGGGTGTTCAAAGAGGGACCCCAGGGAGTGAATCTAAGGCCTTGAAGCTCTAAGACTGTAATGATCACTCTGTCCCTACCAATCCTAGGGTCTCCCACCTTCACAAGTTTCTAGCCCACATCAGATCGGGAGCCCAGCCCCAACTGCCCTTCACTCACCCCCTCGGGAAACAACAAATCCACGCTATGGCCTACAGGCTCTGGGCATCCGAGGGGCCTAGGATTAGAAGGGGGAGGGGGAATCAACCTGGCTCCAGGAGCCTAAGACCAACCAGACCAGAAATTCCAGGTCTCCCTGGCACCAAGCTCCAGGAACAAAAAAGGAAGGACCCCCCCCTCCCAGGGGACAGCAAGAGACACACCAAGAGAAATGGTTTTTGCCTAAGAAAGCACATGAAGGACAACGTGCCAGAGGAAGACTCCAGAGAAGCCAGCTGGGGCCCAGTGAGGGTCTGAATTGAATGGGTGGGTGTCCTGGACCTGAGGCATGCAGAGAGTGGGGGGACTTCAGGGAAGAGGATCAGGGCCCAGAGCCAGAACTGACATTGGCCCCTACTCTGGGGGATTGGAGGGAAGGCCCTGAGGCCAGGCCAGGGAGAAGCCCTGAGGATATGCTAGTCCTAGGCAAAGGGGAAGAGCAAAGAGAAGGGGGAGGGGGGGAGATCAGAAGTTCAAAGTGACTGGCACACTGTAGGTGCTAAATAGGAAACGCTTCCTCTTACACAGATGGGGGGAAAGGAACGTCCAGCACACAGTAGGGACCGAAAAGGCAGTGCCTGGTCTTACAGGGCAAAGAAGATGGGGGGGGAGGGCCCCAGTGCCTGGTACACAGGAGGCACTAAACAGGAAAGCCTTCCTCTTACAGAGCAGAGAGGACAGGAGAGAGACAGGGTTGCAGTGCCCGGCACACAGTAGGTGCTAAATAAGATGGCTGCTTCTTACAGAGCAGAGAGGAGGGAGGGGGACAGGGGCCCTCAAGTGCCTGGCACACAGTTGGGGCCGAAGAGGCAGTGTTTAATCTTACAGAGCAAAGAATGGGGCAGGGCCCCAATGCCTGGCACAGTAGGCGATAAACAGGAAAGGCTCCTTACTGAACGCAAGAAGGGGTCCTAGTGCCTAGCACACAGTGGGGGTTGAGCAGGCAGTGCTTGACCTTACAGAGCAAAGACTGAGGTGGTAGGGTCCTGTGCCTGAAACACAGCAGGTGCTAAATAAGAAAGCTTCCTCTTACAGAGCAAAGAGGAGGGAGGGGGAGGGGGCCCCCAAGTGCGTGGCACACACAGTGGGGGCTGAGCAGGCAGTGCTTGATCTTACAGAGCAAAGATGGGGGGAGGGCCCCAATGCCCGGCACACAGTAGGTGCTGAATAGGAAGGCTTCCTCTTACGGAGCAGAGGCTGGGGGAGGGGGCCGCCTGGCCCGCACCCGGGAGGAGCTGAGCCCCGGCCCATGTCGGAGGAGGAGGGGGAACGGGGAGCGAGAGGCCCGGCCGGCCGGCCCGGGCGCGGAGGGCATGTGACCAGCCGGGGTCGGGTCGGGTCGGGCCGGGCCTAGGCCTGGGCCTGGGCCCGGGGCCGGCCCGAGCTCCTCCCTCCCGGGGCGGCGGCGCCAGGGAACAACGTGTCACTCCCCGCCCCGCTGCCCGCCCGGCCGCGGCCCCTCATTCTGCAGGCCCGGCTCCCGGCTCCCGGCCCCGGCTCCGGCCCCGGCCCGGCCCGGCCCCGCGCTCAGCCCGGCTCGGGGGGCGGCCGGCACACGTGGGCAGGCAGAGGGCCGGGCGGACGGCGGGGCCGGGCCGGGCTGAGCGCGGAGCCGGGACCGGACCGGGCCGGGCCGGGCCCGAAGGGAGGGCGGGCGTCGGGGCGTGGCCGGGCCGGGCCTGGCCCGGCGACGGCGGGGTCGGGCGGGCGGCCCCGGGCCGGATGGCGGCGGATGCCGGGGGGAGGGGGCCCGGCTCGGGCCCGGACATGGCGCCGTTACCTTCAGTCTCCTTCAGTCCGCGCGGCCGAGCCCCACGCAGCCGCACAGGCGCCGTCCACGACCATTTCCGGCTCCCGCACACCGCTCCGGCTCCGCCGCCGCCTCTTGCCCGAGGCGCAGGCGCAAGCGCAGGCGCAGGCGCGGCCCGGCCCGCCACGTGACTGCCGCGGCGCAGGAGGCTGGGTGGCGCCGGCCGGGGCTGGGGCCGCCTGCGGCGTGTGTCGTCATCGCCGTCACGCCGGCGTCCCCAGCTGCCGCAGCGAAGAGTCCTCCCCCGCCCTCCCCCTCTGGCGGGGGAGGAGGGGGGGGGCCTTCAGGATCACATGGACCCTGCCCGGCGGCCAGAACTTCCTGCGGCGTTCTGAGCCTGCGAGCCCGGATGAAACCCCTCCTGGGGTGCCGGGGGAGTACGATCCCGGCCCTCTCCCCCCAGGGGCTCCTGGGGCCGGGACCGTGCTCTCCACGCTCCGGTAGAGCAAACCTGGAGCCGCTCTGGGCTTTTCGTCCCCCATGCGTCCAAAGAGGCGGTTGGACCAGAAGACCCCGAGGGCCCTAGTGAGCCCCTCTGGGCGGCCCCTGGCCGGTGCTTTGGTGCATTAAGGCCCAGTTACAGGGGGAGGGTCTTGGACACAGTTATTCCTCCCCCTCCCCCCAGGTCACGAGGTCAGGGAATTGTGTCTGGGAATGAGAACAAAGGGCTCGCGGGGAAACCTTTCACGGGGCTTGGGAGGTGAAGGAGTAGAAAGCATCCCAAGAAGACCTTGGCCCAAAGGACAATCATTCATCCATCGTGTAATATACATCGCTGCCGGCGGAGCGCTGAGCTGGGGGAGCTAGGTTATGTAAAACCTGGCCCTTGCCCTCCCGGAGGGCAGCAAACCGCGCACAACTACAGTAACCGAAGTTTACACGGCCCTTCCAAGTCTGCCAAGGTGCTCTGCAGATGCCCAATGAGTAATGTGTTGGAGGCTTCGTCAGCCATTGTACAGATGAGGGCACAGTGGTTCAGAGGTTTGTTCCCAGCAGCAGTGGGTCTTCCCTACATCCACGCCAGCCTGCCTCTCAGTATTAGATGGCAAACGCCTGAAGAACGTCAACTTCTCGAGGGTTATTGTTTCTCTCACTTCTTACCACTAAAATGCTTGGCGCTGTCAGATGGCTAAACGTCAGAAACTGACCGGGTTTTATCAGTGGAAATGACATGAAAGAGAAAGCGCTGTTCATCCTTCATTTCAAAAGAGGACCAGTGTCCTGCACGGGGTGCTGCACCCTCTCGTTGGCAGCCGAAACTTTCCACATGTGCCCACTCCACCATTGGAACAGGACCTTCTGGAGAACAGGGACTGCACTTAGCTCAGTGTTCTGTACACAGTAAGCACTAAATAAGTGCCTTTTTCATAGCCACAGTACTTTGCCTACAGTAGGTTGCTGATTGATGGATTGGAAGGGTTGCAGATTTTTTTTTTAGTGCTAAGGTGAGAGGAGGGAAGATGATACCAGAGATTAAGGGAAGGGATGGGGGAAGGGCAGGGGCAGCTAAGTGGCCCAGTGGATAAACACCCAGCCTGGAGTTAGGAAGATGTTTGTCAGACGAGTACCAGCTGTATGACCCCGAGTAAGTCACTTCACCCTGTCTGCCTCAGTTTCCTCATCTGTAAAATGAGCTGGAGAAGGAAATGGCAGACCACTCCAGGATCTCTGCCAAGAAAATGGAAGAGTGGGCCATAGCTTAACAGACTCAACCATAAAGAAGACCAACTTCTGGGAAAAGAGGCTAATAAGGTTGTCTAGGGCATCAACCCCAGAGGCTTATTTTTCTGGAGGTAGGCTTAGATTTAAATGGGGCTTCAAGGCCACACTGTCCAACAGTGACCAATAGAAATGAAAAAGGGGCCAAGAAGCCAAGCTAGTTCCTGGCCTGGTCTCATTCTGTCATCAACGTCAACGTTCCTGTCACTTGACCTACACAAAACAGCAGAGAACCACAAACTCGGCAAAAAGGGCTTGGAGGTAGGGAACCATGGATATAGAACATAGCACAGTGTGTCCCACACAAATCCACATGTCAGATGATTCTGCTGAGCTCGCACCGCATCTGCTGCAGCAGGGCAAAGCTGCCTTGCACCGCCGGGAACAAAAGCAAAAAAGGCAGCAATAAAACTTTTCTTGGAGAGCTATATAAAAACATGAAATTACAGTGAAGGAAAAGGCCTCTGTGCAGCCCCCTCTGTCCTGATAGGCTAAGTGAAAACTCCTAAGCAACCAGTGGGCTTTCTTACTCTCCATCACACACTGCTGACAAATGTGGTTATCTGGTTTCTAATCCTGCCATTATCAGGGAGGAGAGCAGCTGCTCCAGACAGACATGCCGACAGGCAGCACCTCACTGGAGCTGAGCAACCCCAGGAGTGACCAGCGCACAAGAAACCCAAAGGCACAGACAGACAGACTCGGGGCCATCAACATGGGCATTGGTGGCAACGGCCAACCAGCCCCGAGTCTAAGAAAACAGGAAGTTCTGTTCACATCAACAGTATGAGGTTGGGATGCAGCCTCCATTTTCATCCAAAATAGTGAAAATACATGTTCCCTGCTCCCCCAAGAGCCTGTTCTACACACACACTGTTCCTGGTAGAAAGTGAGCTCTTTGGGGTGAGGTAGGAAGGTTTCATTTTTCTTTGTATGACCAGAGCTGACCAGCCCCTAGCACACAGTAAAGGAATAAACCCTCAACTGTAGAAAAACTCGGCGAGCCAGACAGGATGCTCCTAGCCTGTACCTGGATGCCCTTACCCCAAGCTGGCACACCCCCCAGAAAAGAGACATCAACAAAACAGAGGGCCAAAGGGTCTTTAATTCAACATAGTCATCTCTTTCTGTAACAAAAAATGGAAGGAGACAGCTTCCCCCAAAGGGCTGTTGGAGAGCCACCCCTGAACAGAGGTATTGCCCAGTCCCCCAGACTCAAGTCAAAGTTCAGGGCCCCCAGGGCCCCTCAGAGATCATAGCTGGGGTTCTTCCTCAAGATTACGAAGCCCTCCAGGATGGGAGTGACAGGCAAAAACTCCTCGGTGGCTAGCTCTGCCCGTTCACCGTGAGCCAGCAACACTGGGGTGGTGTGCGTCTGGAACCCTGTGATGGTCTTGGGCTTCCCAGCCTGGCCCACCACATCCACTGCCTAAAGAATGGAAAAGGAGATATCAGGAGAGCAGTGAATCCAGTAACCTTCCGGACCCTAACAGTTCCACAGCAGTGGTTGCCTTGTTCCAGCCCCCGAAGGTCTCCTCTCACCTGGCCCACACGGACAGACACTGGCAACGGCCGGAGTTCCTCATCAAAGGTCACCAGCATTCGGGGCTGCATGGCAGCCACCAATCCATAGAGCACATAGTGGGACTTGCCCAGAATGACTAAGAGAAAGCAAGCAGCACAGACAGAGGCAGGTGACCAGCTTGTCCCCACTCACTCCTGAGCTCTGCTCAGTGGCTCTAACTCATCACCCCCAGCTTTCCCCAACCCACCTCCTCAGTCTCGAGGCTCCTCACTCCCCACACTGCCTTATGCTCCCCAGGGCTGCTATTCTTTCATTCTGCCCACACTCTGCTTGCTTCCCTAACCCTGGTGCCACTCTGCCTGACTTCTGAGAGGTGGGGAAAAGTTACCTAAAACACCAAATACAATGGAATTAATGGCCAGTCCCTTATCCCCAGAAGAGAGCCAGCCACACTGTAGTCCAGCTAAAGGGAGAGTCTGGCCTGGGCATAAAGGGTCCAAGAAGAACCCTAGAAAAGCCCAGCTGTGGCCTACCTCTGACCCAACAGTCAGAGCCTAGGGGCCTCCAGAGGAGCCCTGGCACTGACTCAGTCTTTCCAGCACATTTCTGAGGAGGACTCACTGTTGCGGACATCCAGGAAGGAGACGAGCACAGTGAGCAGGCCGGCCACAGCAACCTGACTCATAAGCTGCCGATCACTGTGGTAGGGGCACAGGGTGAGAGTGCCCTTCCCCAAATGTGTCAAGCCCTGTTCAGAACACAGGGAGGTCAGGACTGCAGGAGCGTGGTACCCAGGCCCAGCCAGGCAGGGAGCCTGATGCTCCAGGCCCAGCGCATACAACGCCCCCACCCTACCCCCGACCACCACCAATCTCTAGGCTTCCTAAGAGAAGAGCATCCCCCTCACCTGGGCCAAGCGCACCATGAAGAGATTGTTTGGGTCTTTGGCATGGTACTGGGCTAGCTGGCGCAGCATGGCAGCCAGGCGAGCGTTGTTGGTACCTGGGAAGATGAAGCAGCAGAGGGACTCCTGGGGGCAGGAATGCTGCACAGGGTCAGTCACTGCCCAAACCTGGCCCAGATGTCCCCTTGTGCCCAATACCTGCCCGTCTCTGATACTCACCACTGCCCACCATGCCCATGGCAAATATGGAGTTATAGGACACCTCGGGGTCAGCATCATGGGAGAATTTGCTTAAGGTGTCCAAGATGTTGAGCCTTGGGTTGGAGACTGAGATCAGAGCCAGTGCCAGAGGTACAGCCCGGCGCAGGGTAGGCTCTCCATACCTAAGCTGTTGGGGGAGGACAATGTTAAAAAGGGGGGGGGGGCAGGGAGGGCAAGGGGCCTCACAGAGAGCGCTCCCAACCCAGGCACAGCCACATACCAGTCTTTGATCCAAATCTATGAGGGCCCCTGGAGTCAAAATCATTCACCCCTGGGAAACCAAGTTCCCTCCTCTGTAAAATGAGGGAGTTGGAATGACTAGTACGCAGAACAGAGTCCACTGTGGTGAGTGAATGGAATGGACGTGAGTGAGATAAAGAGCTCAAGGAAAGGTGGGAAGAGGCAGGAAGTAATTTAGAAAGAGGATCCGAAAGCCTGTGAAGAAAGCCAAACCACAAGGGCCCTGCTGAGCACAACCATGTAAATAACAACGGCAACAAAATCTGAAAATAACTGGGAAGAGAAAGAGCTCAAAGAGAACGAGGACCAGCCTTTCAGGGTCCAACCACCAGGACAACCAAAGAGGTCTGGGCTTCAATACAGCCCTTCCCTCTGTTCCCAGCTGTGCGTGGGAATAGGTGTTTGCTAACTCACTAAATTTACAAGATTTTATTATAAACCGAAGCTAAATTCCAAAAGCAGTGCTCTAACTCAAGGCTTGTTAGACTTTTCACCTTTCTTTGGCACTGGTGACCTGAGGGCATGCGCAACGCCCAGTGCCCAAGCTCTGTGTTCAGAATCAAGGTTGTGGTGAGGTGGTAAGGTTGCCAATGAAACATGGGCATGGGATTCACTACTTGTTTGATTTTCATTTAATTTTTGGTCACTGCACTTTCAAAAACCTTTTACTGTTGCCTAACCCAGTTTAAGAAGCACTGGTCTAAATGACCACTATAGGTCTTTTCCTGCCCTCCACCTCCTGGCTTGCAACTCACCAAGTGACCAAAGGTCCGAAGAGCCATCTCTGCCCCAATTTCCTCCCCCATGGCAATAAGGGCAATGCCCAAGACGGCCACTCCCTGACAGAGAAAGGAAGGCACGACACAGTGAGTCCCAGGGGGTCCAGCTCGTCCCCTGGCCCAGCACCCTCTCCCCCCCACCCAAAGTCTCCTCGCCAGATGCCACCTGGTGTGCCCCCATGTCGGCAGGGGCCTCTTTCTTGTCTTTGTCCTTCTTCTCCTTCTTGTCCTTGTCCTCCTCCTTGTCCTTGGAGTCAAAGTGCTCACTGCAGATGTGAAGCAGCTGCTGAACTTTCAGCACGTTCCCTGAACCTGGGGGACATAAAGAGAAAAATGAGAAAGAGAAGAGAGATGGTGCCAGCAGGGAAAGGCAATAGTAATAGTGATCAGGCAATCAGGATGACTCTCCCCTAGGGATTTAAGGTTTGTGAAGCTCATTTGATCCTCACATTTGACAGATGAGGAAACTAAGGCAGGAAAAGGTTAAGTGACTTGCCCAGGGTCATATGGCTTGGGTGTATCTGACTCCAAGTACAGCACTCCATCCCCTCTACCACAGACAGAAAGGATCCTCTCCGGGAGAAACTGGGAGAAAGGAAGGGGGTCCCAAAGAAGGCACGCTCCATTTACTGAGAAGCGACTGAGCCAGGGCCAGACCAACACAGACCTGCATAGGCACACACGTCCACCAAGGTATTGGCAAAACTCCGGAAGGGTTCAGACACGACCTCCAGAGCTGCGAGGATGGCTTCAATGGCCTCACCCTTGCCTAAAAGAAACAGGTGTTCAGGGCTCCCAGCCTGCCCAGTCACCCCAGCCTCCACCCTCCATCTCCACGGGGCCCTTAGGACTGCTGGGCGCACCACTGGGCAGCCCAGCTCACCAAGGTGGTTGAGGCCTAGTCCGAGGGGAAGCCAACGGGCATAAGTATCCTTGAGTTCGGTCTCGGACTTTTCCATGATGGTCTGCAAGATGGTGGACGTAACATCTCCATTGCAGGAACCCACAGCAATCATGCCACAGGCCAAAGCTGTAACACCTGCCACCTGGCGGAGAAGAGGAATGCTCAGGACAGGCTCCACGGTAAAATCCTCACTCACTCTCTGGTGATTTGACTCAAGGAGCCAGATTTCTTTCTTCTACTTTCGGGGAAATCCTTCCTATCCAAACCAGGCAGTTTGCAACCTTTATAGAGCAGTCAAAAGTGCACTTTCCTCCTCCTGGAGCCTCAGTGTCCTGCTCTCACCTTGGGATGAATTAGGACTTCTTCCAAGGAACACTGAGACTTCAGGCCTGTCAAAGCTGATCCAAGAGCGAGAAACTCGGAACATGCCAACCTGAACAAGGCCTACAATCTAGACAGGCTTTGTACCAAAGGCTCTTGTCTGCCTGTGCTTCGTTCCCACATCCCTGCCCCACCATCATTCCCGGGAGAGTCCCAGGGCTCAAAGCTGATTCCCCAAGGCAGCAACCCTCCACACACACACCTCCATACTGGATTTGGAGTCTCCCATCACCGGCAACAGCAGAGTTAGGACATCCTCACGATTTGAGCCAGCATAGGCCAGGCCAAGGCTAAGAAAGCCAGAAAAGGTGCATCAGCCAAGGACCGGGGAGAAAGGGCAGCCCAAGGGACAAGTGACCAGGAGCCAAGGAGCTTACCCAAAGATAGCGCCAAGCCGCATGGTATTGCTGTTATGTAAGACATAGTCTGAGAGCAGTGCTAAGGCTGGGTCACACTCATTTCGGACTCCTGAGTTCACGATGCCACAGGCAAGAAGTGCTCCTGACTGGGAAGAGAACAGACCCCACTCTCTCACACATGACCCCCACCAAACCCCCCCCACTCCCTTGGTTTGGGGGGGGGAGAGCGGCGGCAAGGTTCATAGAACGTGACAAGCCATGCAGGCCTCATCAGTGAGAGGTGGGGATGACACCATCACCGAAAAGGGGAAGGGACCTCTCACCTTAATATAATCCTCGGAGGAGTAGAGGTACTTATCGATCTGGGTGAGGCCCCCATCCACATCCCAAAGGAGGATCATGCCCAGGGAGGCAGCTGCACTCAGCATCCCTACGGCCAGAACAAAGCGTCACCCCACACTGGACCAGTGTCAAAGGACCTGGAGTGGTGACGAGGGCCCGTGGAGCCTGTGACCATACCGTGATCCTTGTTCTTGTACAGCCACTTGTTACCGTCATCTGTGAGCAGTTTATCCTGGCCGAAGGCTGCGTTGACAAAGCCGTTCACAAAGGAGGCTGCCAGATTCATGCGAGCCGAGTCCACCTGGGAGCCGCTGCCCCCAAACCCTGCACCAGGGAGGGGAGAGAAGTGAGGACTGACTCCAGCTGTTGGGCCTTTGTCTGAGCCACCCGTGCCTTGGCGAGGACACATCACAGGTCCGCTTTCTGTTAACAGGGCAGGTCGTTCTTAGCTGCCACTACTGTGAGGATGATGGTGGCAGCGGTTCTATAACCAAGATGGTCTCTTCTACAATCACCTCTGTGGCCAGAGTATGACTCAATGCCCCCAAACGCTGCTGTGGCTACTCACTGTTGTTTTCAAGGTGGGTTTTATAAATGTCATCAGGCACCTTGGGCTCCATGATGTCGAGCTGGAGAGCAAACATACCAGAATTAAGTTAAAATCACACCCAAAACAAAGATAGCTTCCCTTTAGTTTTTCCACCAAAGGGTAATTGGGCCAAAAATAATTGGACAGACAGGACTGAAGCTGCTGTCCCTGCCCAGAAGACAAGCAGGGAGCCTCACCTCCCTCGCCAAGGCCAAGAAGTTGCTATTGAGCTGCACATTGGACATGATCTCAGTCAGATCCTCGTACTCCTCGACATCTTCACTCAGTTCCAAGAAAACCCCGTGCCGGCCCAGCATAAAGGCCATTTGCTTCTGAACCACTCTAGGGAAGAAAGCCTTCATATTTTATTCACTTCCCAAGAACAAATGGTCCTTGGAGTCCCCACCCTCGGCTGTCCCCAACATACACGTCCTTGCAGGAGGTGAAGATGTCTTCCACCAGTTCCATGTCATTAAGCATCAGGGCGAGGCGCAGGGCCTCGGGGAAGCGGCTGAACTTTCGGAAGACCCCCAGGGCACAGCGGAGCAGGGCCGAGTTCTCAGGCTCTGGCACGTAACTCACACAGCTAGAAAAGAGAAAGCCTGTGGGCCTCCCTGAGCCCAGAGTTCCTGGCCGGGGTGCCCCACACCCCCCTCACAGCCCTTCCCCTCACCCACCTGGTGAGATAGAGACAGACTTTGGCGTAGGCGTTGTCGTCAATGTCCTTCTCCAGCATGTCCATCTGCTCGATCTCCATGAGCAGGTCGCAGGCCTCGTGCTCTGCATTGTGGGCCATGTTGTAAGGGACGATCTCCTTCACCAGGGTAAGCAGGGGCTCTCGCTGAGACTTCTCGGCTTCATCTAGCTCCTGCCATTCCTTGGCTACTTCGCCTGCCAGATGCCTGGGGGAGGCCCGGGTGTTAGCGTGGGAGGCGAGGCTGTCCCTCAAAGACTCCCCTTAGTGCTCACCAACCCCAGACCTGCTCTTACCGAACATATTCATGGCCCCATGAGGCCAGCTCCTCCTGAGAACCCACTAGTCGGTACTTCAGACATTCACGCTCCCCACTCATGGTCATGGCCAGGACAGAGATGATGTCAGCTGCAAAGCGCTGCAAAAAAACCAAGCCGTGCTGAGCAGGAGAAGGCAGGTGGCCCAGAAACAAGGCCGGCACAAAGGGGGAAAAGCCTCAGGGACGCCACATTCACGCGGCAGCAATGCCACCAGGCAGCGAGTGGCACGCCGAGTGACAGTCACGGTACCCAAACAAGTAAATGCTTATGCACTGCCAACATGGACTCAGACAAGAGAGGCCGCCTCTGAACCGGGGGAAAAGAACAGCAACAAAATGGAGAGTGAGCAGACAGAAGCCAGGGGAACGCGGAACAAATGCCATTGTCTTTGTTCCAGCTGCCGTGCGCTTCTGTGATCATCCTTTCAGATCTGGGGTTAACTTGGGGTCTGTGAACCCCAAAGAGGTCCAAGGGGGAGAGATTGTAGGGCATCCGGGAACCATCTTCATTTTCACTGACCTCTAAAGGAAACGCAGCATTTCTTTCAATTACCTGAAAATATGGTTCTGAAAAGGACTGCTCTGTCTCTTGGCTTCCCCAGACACTGCCCAAGGTGGCCAACAGCCCAAGGAGAGCAAGAATCCCAGTTCTACATGGACAGATCTGAGAATTTACTATTATTTTTTTCTGACAGATAAGTTAAGATTGACTTTGTAATAAAAATGATTTTTAATGTTAATAAACTGTTGACGGACTACAGTAAGAGACTAATGCCTTTCATGGGCACCTTCACACTGACCCAGAGCCTGGATCCACGTGGCCTGATCCGTGCCCGTGTTCTGTCACCAGCTCAGAACACAGAAAATTCAGAAAATCAGAATCGAGACCCAGTGCTGACACTTACTCACTAGATGACCACACATAAGGATAAGACTCAGTTTTGCTCATCTACAAAATGGGGCTACTTGCATAGTGGTATCGAGTTCACCACATTATGGTATTGAAATCACTTTGTGAGCCTTCATATGCCAGGAAAGCCCAAGCCATCATGATGACCATGTGCCCTCCCTACCAGCCCCCTGGGCAGGGGGTCTCACCTTATTCTCCCCAGGCTTCATGTTCTCATAGATCTCCTTCAGCTTGCCATAGTGTGGACGCAGAAATTTAAGAGGCTTTGGCACCGAGGTCATGGAGGTTGTCGAAGAGCGGATTTGCCTCCGCAGCTCCTCCAGGGCTGGTCTGTAGAGGGATGTGTCCTTCTCCTGGTTGGAAGGAAGAGATATGCAAGGAAGGGTTTGGGTAAAAAGGAGCGACACTTAAGACTTAACAGGAAATCGTAGGATAAAGAGACTTTCATATAGCCCCACAACCCTCTCCTCAGTAGTCAGACTATATACAGTGACTACAAATACATTAAGAACCACAGCCACAAAAGCAGGTTAAAGTTTGTAGACAGAAAACAAATTGGGGGACAGCTAGGTGGCGCAGTGGATAGAGCACACTGGCCCTGGAGTCAGAAGGACCGAAGTTCAAATCTGGCCTCAGACCAAACACTTGACACTTACTAGCTGTGTGACCCTGAGCAAGTCACTTAACCTGAACTGCCTAAAATACATACATACATTGGAAGGGAACCCAGAAAAAAACTTTTTTTTTTTTGGTTAAAGATCCTATGTTTGTTTGTATTTTTTTCCTTCGTGTGGCCAGGTCTCATAGTTAATTACTTTATTCCATATTTCACACGATTATCACTTGCACCCAAAGAATAAAGGCAGGGCGCTGGCAGGGGGAGGGCCAGGATCGGGCCCTGACTCACCCCGAGCCGCTCCACCAGCATCTCCAGTTCATCCTGAAGTTGTTTGTCTTCCTCAGACTGCAGTGGGAGATACAGTGTCAGCACACGCCAACCCCTCAAGACCCTCCTCCCCAGCAGTGCGGCACCAAGGTTCACACGTGGCTGTACGGGGGCTACCCCCTAGTACCAGCCTCTCACAACTCCAATCACTGAGTTCTCTAAACTGAGGGAGAAGGGGGGGGGGGTAAGAGGAAGAGAAAGAGACTGAGAAGGAGGGAGGGAGAAGAGAAAGAGGAAGGGATGGAGAGCTGGCACAGGACCTGGAATCAGGAAGACCTGAATTCAAATCCAACTCTAACATGACCAGTGCTGTGACTGGATCCTGCCCAAGTCATTTAGCTTACACCTGCCTCAGTTTCTTCATCTGTAAAATGGGGACAATACCAGCACCTACCTCACAGGGTGGTTGTCCCCCAGCTCCTGGCTCATTGGGGCTGGGGGTGGGTCCTCGCCGAGCCAGGGCTGTTACCCCTCCCCTGATGCCTCAGGGGCTCTCTCTGACGCCCCAAATCAACGACCCTCCCCCCCCCCTCCCCCCCCCGAGCCGTCCAGGTCCTCGGTGACTGCTTGGGCGTGGCCTGAGAAGTGACCAGCAGGGGAGGGGCCCAGGTGCTCGGACCCCGGGTCGGGAGCCTTTCCCCTGCACTCTTTCCTGGGAGGCACAACAAAGGCCTGGGTTCCAATCCTGCCTGTCACCTAGTCCCTAGGGAACCTTGGGCCGGCTGCTTCTCTCTAGGCCCGTTTCCTCTTCCGTACAAGGAGAAAGGCGGGCTGACGGGGGCCCCCAAGCAACCTCCAGGGCAAACAGGACTCGGGGCTCTTCCCTGGGGGCCGAGGCGGGCACTGCGGGGCAAAGGCGCGGAAGATGGGGATGGGGAAGCCGGCTGGGTTGCGGACGGCGTGGGGAGGGGGGGGGAGGGAGAGGGGCCTTAAACGCCGCGCGCAGCCGGGACGGGCCGCGGAGCCCGGAGGCCGTTGGGCGCCGGCCGGGCCCGAGGCCTGCGCCGGCCATGACTCAGCCCCGAGGCCGGCCCAGGCCCGGCCCCGCGCTCACCAACTCCTGCTCCTTCTCCTTGTCGCTGAGCTCCCGACGCTCCTTGCCGCCGGCCTTGTCGTCCGTGGCACCGGTGCCGCCCGCAGGGGGCTGCGACTGAGGCGGCGGCGGCGGTGGCGGCAACACCGCCTTGTTGCGGCCGCCCGGCTCCATGGCGCGCTCCGCTCCGCTCCAGCCGCACCCCTCCCCCCCGCCGCCGCCGCCGCCCGCGCATGCGCGCGCGCCCACGCCGCTTCGTCAGCACGCACGCACGCCACACACGCTCAGACTACAAGTCCCACAAGGCAGCGCGCCGACCAGGCTGTGACGGCGGGTCGCGATACGATGCGCATGCAGATATTACACTGGCTTGGAATGCATGCATTCATTCATGAAATGAGCAACTGTTAAGGGGCTACCACGTGCTAGGCACTCTGCTAAAACGGGAGGTACTAAGACAGAAATTTAACAGATCCTGCCTTCAGGAAGCTTACATTCTACAGAGGGAAAGCTGCAGGAACATGCAGAAAAGTGAATCTAAAAGCTATCCGACTAATAGCTAGCATTTATGTAACCCTTTAAGGTTTGCAAAATGCTTGACAAATGTTATCTCATTTGATTCTCGCAACAATCCTGAGAGGTAGGTGCAGTTATTATCCCCATTTTACAGATGAGGAAACTGAGGCAAAGGTTAAGGGACGTGCACAGCTCATAAGTTACTGCTTGCTCTCTGTCTCTTCAAATAGTCCAGCACACCTTGTATCCATCTCTCCCCTCCCCCCTACCATAAAAATGAAAGCTCTGAAAAGGTGTGTCAGTTTAATTTTTCTGTACCCAAAAATCATTCATATCCTGTGTTTACTTGCAGGTAAACAGGCCTTATCCTTCCAGTAGAATATAAACTCCTCGAGGGCAGGGATGGTCTCATTTTCCCTCCTAGCACAGTGTAGGCATAAACTAGGTGATTAATAAATTGGGGCTTTTATTAATTGACACGGAGACATTCTCCCTAGCACCTGGCACCTAGCACCTGGCACTGCACCTTCTACATATGATGTATTTAGCTGAAGAGGCAGCTGGGCTGGACTTTTTCATCTGGAAGCCCGGGGTTCCTAATTCCACTTGTGACGTCCTACGTGTGTGACTCTGGGCTGGGCCAGTCACCCGTGCACTCTGACCCTCAGTTCTCTCATCTCTAAAATAGAAGAGTCCCTCTAGAAACTGTTAACTCACAGTGTAGCTAAAGGGTCCAGGGAGATGATATCTGTGAAGTGGTTTGCAAACCATGTTAAATGTAGGCAATTAGTATTCAATTTGCTTCAATGATCTGAATCATTTGACCTGGAATTTCAATGTATCAAATGTTGAACAAATGAGTTTTTACTTTGGGCCTGGGAATATTTTCATCCTAAGCAAATCTCACAGTATTTTATGCAGTATTATTCCACCAGCCAATCAATGAGCATTTATCAAGCAAGTCTTCTGTCCCCTTCATTGAACAGTCCCTCTCCTGAAGGAATTGATGTTCTGATGGGAAAGACAATAGGCACATGGGTGGGCATGTTAACCTTAGATGGTGAGGCAATAACATCTGAGGAGACAGGGCAAAAGTCTCCTACAGAAAGTGGCGTCTGGGTTGTGCCTTGAAGGAAGCCAGGGATTCGAAGAGGCAAAGGTACGGGGGGGAGAGAAGTCCAGGCATCTGGGACAGCCAGTGGAAAAGATGGGACATGTGAAGGTATGAAGGACATTGAGTGGACCAATGGGGCTGGACTACAGAATTCATGAAAGGAGGGAGGATGTGAGAAGTGTAGAAGAAAAAAAAACAGGTTAAGTTGTGAGAAGCCTGAAATAATAAAAGAGCTTATATGTGAGCCTAAAAGCAATGGAAGTCAACGGAGTTTATTGGGTGAGAGGGTGTTGTGATGCGATGAGCCTTGTGCTTGAGGAAAATCACTGTGCTGATGCATAAAGGATGGAAGGGGAGGGAGAAGGGGCCAAGCACTTATTTAGTGCCTCCCGTGTGCCAGGCACCGTGCTAAGTGCTTTACAGATACATGCTCATCTGATGAAGGGAGAAGAGGCTTGAAGCGGAGACCAACTCACAAGTGGTCACAGCAGTCCAACAGAGAGGTGATGGCCACCTGAGGAACTGAAGCTATCCTGGTGGTTATGACCATGAGCCACTGGCCCAGTCTGGTAGTGCTCCAGGGGATCATTCTAGAGGTCCAGGAGAGAGGTTACGGCTAGATACACAGATGTGGGAGTCATCGAAGAGAGATGATCATTGAAGCCACGGGAGCTGAGGAGATCACAAAGGGAGAGAGTACAGAGCAGGGGTTCTGAAGCTTTGGGAGGGTGGGGTCATGGACCCCTTGGGCAGGCTACTGAAGCCTGTGGACCCCTTCTTAGAATAATTTTTTTAAATAATGGAAGGGCATGCAAATTGCAATGAGAGGTTAATGAAAGTAAAGATATCATTTATTTGGTTTTTTTCTGTCCAAGTTCCTATAGGGGTCCATGGATCCTGGGTGAAAAAGATCCAGTATATAGAGAAAAAAGAAAAGGACATATTGGTCAGAGTTGCAAATCAGGTTAGTTTCCCTACACATTATCGCGATCATCATGTAAGTTATTTCTCCCTGTTCTGCTGATTTCATTGGCATCTGTTAGTGCCATGGTTTCAGATGCTGCCAGGTCAAGGGCCTCTGGGATAGTATCAGAGCTGTTATGGGTTGGTGTTTTCTGTGCTAAATATTAAGACATATGTATATGTTAATATAAATATGAAAAACAAACAGGTATATGAGGGGGCACTTGGTGGTCTTCTGAATTTTACCCATTTCTCTTGTGGGAGAGAAAACAAATAACTGTCCCAAACCTGATATCTACTTTGTACATTAAGTACTTCTTCAAAAAAGGATGCTGTTAGTCCTTTTTAGAGAAGTCTCTAGATATGACCAGTCTAAGAGATTTTCTTTTCTAGTCCTTCAGGGTGGGAAACAGAAAGGCGGAGAAAAGCCTGAGGCCCCTCCTGGGTGTCAGACTGGTCCCAGGACAAATCTGGGCTCTGAGTGAGGCCAAAGCCAGAGGCCCTTTTCTACATCTCCACTCCTCCCACTGGTCACAGATCAGAGACAAAAACAGAACTCTTCTTTCCCCCAAGGGACTTACTGGTGTTTAGAACCTTTACACAGATAAGCAACATAAGGTAACTGGGGGGCAGGGAGCCCCAAGTAACTGGGAAAAGCAGGAAAGGCCTCCCCTAGGAGATATCATTTGAGCTACAGAACTTTGACAGAAGGAGGGCATCCATCCTAAGAGGTGGAGGTGAAAAGGGATGGCATTCCAGGCAGAGGGGACAGCCCAGCCAAAGGCCCAGAAGTGGGAGCTAGATTATTGGTCAAGTCAACAAGCTTTATTAATCACCTACTATGCGTGAGGCACAATGCTAAGTACTGGGGCTACAGAGAAAGGCAAAAGATAGTCCTCGCTCTCAAGGAGCTCGGTTCATAAAGGAAGATAACATGACTATGTATGACCAGATGATAGACAGGATCAGTTGGAGTTAATCAATAGTATTAAGTGGGATCAAGAAAGGCTTCGTACAGAAGTTGGGATTTTAGATGGGATTTGAAGGAAGCCAGGCAGCGGAGAGGAGGAGCGAGAGAATTCCAGGTAGGAGGTGAACGAGTCCGGAGCCAGGAGGTGGAGTGTCTCGTGTGGGGAGCAGCAAGGAGAAGGCCAGTGTAATAGAAAGCAGAGAGAGTGTGGAGAGGAGAGAGAGAAAGATGTAGGAAGCCTGGAAAAGTAGAAAGGGGCTGGTCATGAAAAGCTTGAGTGCTGAGAGAGTCGATGTTTAATCTGGCAGGTGATAGGGAGCCATTATAGCTTATGGAGGGCGGGAGAGAGGTGACGCGGTCAGACCTGAATTTAAGCAAGATCGCTGATGACCGAGTGGAAGATGGACGGGGGTAAGGAGAGACTTGAGGCAGGCAGACCACCAGCAATTATTGCAATAGTCCAGGTGTGAGGTGATGAGGTGGGCCTGCCCGAGGGGGATGACGGTATCAGAGGAGAGAAGAGGGAAAATCCACAGGATTTGGTGACAGATTGGAAATAGAGAAGTGACAGAGAGTGAGGAGTTCAAGGATGGCCCCTAGGTTGGGACTCACACCTGGGAAGGTGAGCAGTGACTGGACCGAGGAGGGGAACTTCAGTAGTAATCAGAAAGTTTGGTAAAGGGGAAGGTTTGGGGGGGTGGAGGGATGAGTTGAGTCTTGGACATGTTGAGTCTAAGATGTCTGCAGGACATCTAGTTTGCAATGTCTAGCAGGCAGTTGGAGATGCAAGATTGGAGCATAAGAGAGAGGTTAGAGCTGAATAAGTAGACCTGAGAATCATTTGCATAACAATGATTATTTAATCCAAATGAAATGGTGTAGAGGAAGATGAAAAGAGGACCCAAGGCAGAGCCCTGTAGAACACCCAAGGTTATCAGACCTGGGTGAAGATTGAGCAAAGGTGATAGAGGAGGAGTGGTCAGAGTGGAGGAGGAGAACCAGAGAGATTGATGTCCTGAAGACCTAGAGGGAAGGGAGCATCTCAGAGAAGAGGGTGATCAACAGTGTCAAAGGCTGCAGAGAGGTCAAGAAGGATGAGGATTGAGAAAAGGTCATTGGATTTGGTAGTTGAGAGACCAGTGATAACTTTGAAAGGACAGTTTCAGTTGAATGATAAAGTCAGAAGCTAGGCAGTAGAGAGTGAGAGGAGGGCACCTATCATAAATGGCCTTCTCAATGACTTTGGCCACAAAAGAGAGGAAACATGTGGGACAATAGCCCAAAGAGAGATACATCAAGGGAGGGCTGCTTTTGGAGGAGAGGGGAGATGGGAGTGTGTTTGTAGGCAGTAGGGAATTAGCCAGGGAGATACTGAAGGTCAGGAGAGAGTGGGGATCTGCTGGAAAACACAGGATGAATTGAGCTCACTTGTGTAGGTAGAGAGCTTGCCTTGGCAAGGGAGGGGCCCCCTCAATGTGTGAGAAAGGGCCAAAGGAGAAAATGGTGGCTGAAGGCATCTGAGGGACATGAGATAAGACAGAGGTGAGAAGGGGGAGCTCTCTCTGAGTGGCCTCCATTTTTTCAGTGAAATGTGAGGCAAGATTGTTGGTATAACCATTTTGTAAAGCAGTTTGGAATTATGTAAACAAAGTGATGAAAAT